TGCATCAAAAGTATCTAATAAGAATTCCAGATGATATATCAGATGAGGTTGTTGCCTCAGTGCTATTTAAGGGCATGACAGCTCATTATTTGATTAACCAGTCTTATAAGGTAAAACCTGGCACTTTTGTGTTGGTTCATGGTGCAAATGGAGGATTGGGGGGGATAATATGTCAATGGATAAAGGATAAAAAAGGTATGGCAATAGGCTCTGTAAGTTCAGATGATAAGATGCTGCAAAGTGGCTGTACACATATGATAAACTACAATGATAAAGAGGCTGTGGACAAAATTATGGAGATTACAAAAGGTAATGGAGTGGGTGTAGTATATGATCCTATAGGTTACGCTACTAGTAAAGTCTCTTTTGAATCTTTGGGTAACTTTGGTATCTATGTTTCGTATGGACAAATATCCGGTGCTGCTCCCCTTAGTTTTTCTTTGCTTAGTTCGAGGTCGCTGTTTGCAACTGGTACTTCAATATATCACTATAAGCAAAACAGATTTACGTTAGTGCTTACAGCAATGGAAATCTTTGAAATGTTAAGAAAAAAACTCTTAACCGCAAAGATTAATAAAAAATATCAGTTTGATGAAATCGTTCAAGCACACCATGATATAGAAAATAGAAAAGTAAGTGGCTTAAATATTATTAAATTCTAAGCATGTTATGTTAACTATTTGTTGAATGATGTCGATTAATATCTTGTATATTCTCTCGTTACGAGATATAGTGACAAACGATCAACTTTAAATGAAATTGGCACGCAAAATGAAATATTTTAGTAAAAAATAAATTTATATTCTATAATTAAAAGTTATTTAAGTATATCCCTTATATTTATCCTCTATACATTTGGATATTCTACCACTAATTACCTTTTAGAGCTTACAAGCGTGTCTTTCTCTCTCGAAGCAAGGATTTTGCTTGTAATTGTAGCATCGCTATTATTTTTTATGCTAATCTACGACGAACTATATAATTAGGAAGGCAATAATGAAATTATTATAATATCTATCTTAGTAAAGCAACTCTTTCGATTTCAAATATATTACTCTTTTCCTCGTGTAGTTTGTACTGGACTACTTGTTGGTGCCGCTGAATTTTACTAACAGCCGGTCAGTATTTGCTTTTTCTTTGAATGCAGCATTGCTTTTATATCAACAACCATAGTTCCTTTGGGGATAACTGCACTTGCAAATCCCTGCAATATATGTTAGTGGGATGTTGATCATAAGCTAGAGCGGGTGACTTCCGTGATTATGGCATTATTATGTTAGGAATTGCCACATTAGGTTGGAGTTTTGCTACAGATGTATTAGCAAAAAGCCATTGCTATTCTTGAATCTATATGTAGCGGATTATATAGCTCTACAAGTGCATTACTGACTGTAATTTTAGTACCTATGATGATGTTGGCAAGTCATTGTATATTTAATCAACCGCAGATACATTCCCACGTAATATAAAAGGTTAAAGATTAGCAAGACAAGCTGTAGAATCAGAAAGCTCAAGCAGAAGCACGGTCACTATCGTGAATAAAAAAGCAAAGAGAACGGAAGTAGGGCACGAGATAAATCATCATGATGATTTTCGTAATATATTTGTTAATTATATAACAAGCGCAATCAGATAAGCAAATTATTTTACCTTATTGATAGTAAAGATCAGAAGACGCAGTCTTCATGACTGAAGAAATTTCAACGAGAATAAAGAAAACACTAGGTGTCGATAAATTTATTTTACTATAATGTAAGATAGTATA